AAACTAATCTCAAGAAAATGGGAAAAAAGGGAACACAGGGCATGCAGGATAATTTACCAAATGACAAGTTTGCACAGCAAAGTATGGGCTCTGAGCAGAGAGAAACCATAGTGTAGTAGCGAGGCAAGCCAGAGAGTGCCCTGGGCCTGTCCGTAGACATCCCCTCTGAGAATAACACTCACCATGCCCTTGTGAATAAGTCTCTGGGATTGATGCTTGGGACCTCTGTCACTCGGGCCATAGCTGTGGGACCAGGGCATGTGCCCCAGCCTAGGGAAGCCACCTCAAGGTTCACAGATGACACAAGCAGAGCCAGGAGAAAGGATTCTGCCTAAGCGATTCCTTAAACAAGACTGTGAGCAGCCACAGTACAACCTCCCTAGGGGTCCGCATGCGGCATAAGGAGAGGCGCCTGCAGAGAGCAGAGTGCTGAGGAAGCTAGAGGAAGAAGAAGGTAATTCCTGTGGAAAGGTTCATGGCTGCTGGGTGTGGCGTTCTACACCTGTAATCCCAGCCCTGTGGGAGGCTGAGGCAGTGGATCACTTGAGGTCAGGAGTTCAAGACCAGCCTGGCCAACATGGTAAAACCCCACCTCTACTAAGAATACAAAAATTAGCCGGGTGTGGTGGCAGGTGCCTGTGTAATCCCACCTACTCAGGAGGCTGAGCAGGAGAATCACTTGAACCCAGGAGGTAGAGGTTGCAGTGAGCCGAAATCACACCACTGCACTCCAGCCTGGGTGACAGAGCGAGACTCTGTCTTTAAAAAAAAAAAAAGTTAGTGGCTGAGACCCCCATAACAAAAGCCAGGTCAACAAGAGAACAGCATACAAATGTATTTACTATAAATTTCATGTGACACAGGAACCTTCAGAAATAAAGACCCAAAGAAACAGGGGAAACTGTCTTCATGCATAGTCGTGCAGACATGTGATTGGAGGATAAGAGGGTGTGACTTATGCTAATAAACTGGGGGACTTAGCAAGGCCTGTTTATTCAGATTCTTCCTGGGGTCTCTGTAGGACACTCCTTTTCTCCAGGGATAGGGAGGATGCTTCTGGAATGAGGGTCTTATGACCTGCTTTAGGGAAAGATCCGAGAATTCTTCTATGGTCTGCTTCGGGGGAGACAGGCGAGGGGAAGGGGAATGTCGCCTTCCTGATTCTGCTGTTTTCTTGATGCCAAGGTGCTATATTTTGGGGTGGCAAGTCCTGAACCCTGTTAAAGCCAAGAGCAGTGGCAGAAAGGAGAAGAACAGGCATTGGCCATGCGCAGCAGACCCCATCGGCGAGCACCAGGCCAGAGGTGGGAAAAGCAGCAGCCAGTGTATCCGGCGTTGCCAGCCTGAAATACGGTTTTCACGATCTCATAAAGACAGAACCCTCCCCAGCCCCTGGGACTATATATAGTCCATTCTCCCTCCAGGATCCCCACACACTTCCTCCTGCTCCGTAATTTCCGGGAGCGCTCACATGCAGCGGAAGCTGTCACCTCCGTCCATCAGTCAGCGCCTCTCCCACCTCTCAGGATGCCTGTGCACCATCATGTCACCCTCTCCAGAAGACGCTCTCATCCCACACATGGACAGAGTTTTCACTACTCCTATAAACTCAGGTTCTCTTGAACCCACATGCTTTAAACCCAATCTCAGGGGAGGGGACCCTGCCATCCCCCAGCAGGTTTCCATGTGCCAGGGGAAGGATCAGCTCAGCCCCTCCCCACAGAGAGATTTTCAGGTCCTTCCCACACCCCAGAGGCCCCTGTCCCTGATGCTCTGCCTTACAACAGCCTTTTGACAGTGATTGTTATGAAACAGGAGAGCGAACACACCGGCCTGAAGTGTCTGTGTTTGAGATGCTTTCCAAGTCCAAGGCCAGTGCAAGAGTAGCAGTGCGTATTTGTTTAGCGTTGGTTTAACTGCAAAGGCCTGATGACCTTCCAGAAACAAAGAAGTTCCGCTCCAAGGGGACTTTCTGTGTCTGCCGCTAGAAACCGCTAGCAACTGCAGTTCTCCTGCTTGAAGAAAAAAAAAAAAATCCAGTTTCAGTTCACCAAGCATCTGTACAGAGCAGAGATGGTGGTAGCCTAGCACAGAGCAAAGCCTGAGTCACAGGAATGGTGGCAAACCCGGAGGAGCAGGAGCAGTGTCCCAGGGACCTCTCCAGCCTACCCTGTGAGGCCTGGCCACTCAGCCAAGCTAGGGGGTCACCACCCAAAAGAGGCCCACACAAGCAGTCGGGGAAGCATCAGAGAAGAACCTGAGGTTGGCCAGTGCACCCCATTCCTTTCATGTATCAGAAACTGAGCCTCGAGATGGTAAGGACCTCGGCCAAAGACACGTGATCAGACTAGACCCCAACCCTTGACCTGTGAATTTGACTCTTGTCCCATGTTTCCAGTGGAGAGGGGCTTCAGTGCAGCTGGTGAGGGCCACCAGCATTTAGGTCCTCTGACCTGGCCTATCACCAAGGAGATGGTCACCTCCAGTCCGTTCATCCAGCGGCAGCTCACTGAAGGCCCAGAGGTAACCAGTGTCATAAAGAACTGCCAAAGAAAGGGGCGGGTCATGATCTACTGTGTGCAAGATGCTTTCAGCTTGTGTTCTTCAAAGACCTTGCCTTAGGGTGGGGATCCTAGATGTAGAGCCTGAGACAGGATTCTTGTTCAGGCAGGGAGGGTAAGAATTGTCAGGGAAGGGCTCTAGAGAGGGAGAGTGGCAGGAAGCAGCACAGGGCAGAGACAGAAGCCAACAATGTTCCCCTGGGAGAGGAGATTCAGTCTGATCCCTTTGTGTGGGCAGTCATTTGCCAGGGGCAGCCCCCAGGCTGGGCAGCTGTAGGCCATCAGCAGCCCACACTCACAACCACTGGAAGGTGGCTGGGCTGGGGCTCTGAGAGCATCACAGCAGGTGTCTCCACCATGGGCATGATGAGAAAGGTGAGGCTCAGATGTTAAAGAGAGTTGGGCACAGTGGCTCACGCCTGTAATCCCAGCACTTTGGGAGGCCGAGGTAGGTGAATCGCCTGAGGTCAGGAGTTCAAGACCAGCCTGACCAACATGGCAAAATTCCATCTCTACTGAAAGTACAAAAATTAGCCAGGTGTGGTAGCATGTACCTATAATCCCAGCTACTCGGGAGGCTGAGGTAGAAGAATCACTTGAACCCGGGAGGCAGAGGTTGCAGTGAACTGAGATAGTGCCACTGCACTCCAGCCTGGGTGACAAAGTGAGACTCCACCTCAAAAAAAAAAAAAAAAAGTTAAAGAGGCCTTAAGGAGGGTGGAGATGGAAACCGGGAGAGGGTTCCCAGACAGCGGGTGGAAGAGCCATGCTGTGCAAGCCGCCTGCTTCTGTGCCCAGGACTGGCCCTTCTCTTGGTGTTTCCCTCCTGGACTGCGTCTATACTCCAGGAAATTTCTATACAGCCAGGCTGGGCAGGCCAGGTCAGGATGGGCCCTGCTGATGGGTGCGCCAGTCCTGGAGGGTGGGGGTGGCGGTGGCTGGTATCTGGGCCCCGGGACCTTGTCTCTACACCCCAGGAGCTTGCCTAAAAGGAAACCCCCGTCATTGTCCTCCCGCCAAGCAGCAGGGCCAATGGAATGTCTGAATCAAAGGCCCTCCTTGAAGGGCAATGGCAAAGTGGCGCTGGGTCTGACAGCAGATGCTGACCGCCTGGGATCTTGCGCACATGCAGTTTCTGATTAGAGTCTGGGGTGGGAATTGCAATTATCGTTAATAACTCCCAGGTGACACCAACGCTGCTGGCCTGGCCTCTCCCTGCACCACCTCCACCCGTCCCCGTAGCAAGAGTGTGGGTCTGCTGCCTGGAGTCCATCGACCTGTCTTCTCGTCTCTGGTTTTCCTCTGCTGAACAAAACCTTCCCACTCTCAGCACGTGGACTCTAGGTGCAGCTGAGCCCCCTCGGCCATGGGTGTGCGTGTGACAAGGCCTTTCAGAACCCTGCACTCCCCTGGTCACCGAGACGGGTCTAGTAATGGGCACTAACCCAATTCAGGCCAGCAAGAGTAGGCCCTCCGCTGTCTCAGATCCATTAGAGAAGGACTGAAGCTGCCAGGCAGAAGGCTGAGCTGCCGGCTGCTTCTTCCTGGCTGGGTCCGTGTGACCATCGAGTCACTGTACTTTTCATTTAGACGAGCTCATCATTTCCTTTTTTGAAATCTGAGTTGAACACAGAGCCCTGTCTGATTCACTCCCAACATCACCCACCCATGTTTCAAAGGCACAGTCCCTAAGTTCCTTACTCGCAGGACCCTCCTGGCTGACAGAGGCCATGGAAGAAGTCAGAGTCAGAGGGCGCAGCACAGGGTCATGGTGCCGAAGGGAGCCCACTGCACTCCAGCCAGGCATTCCATTGACAGGCGGGAAGTTACCTACCCAGGTCTCATGGCCACCTGGCAGCAGGCAGGACAGAGGGTCAGCTGTCCAGAGCGCTCTGCGAGAGGCGGTCTGCAGCCAGGTCCTACTTGGGGGTGGGGGGGCCAAAGAGGGACAGTAGAGTCTCTGTGCTGCGCTGTGCACTTGCATCCTTTACACATCTACTTGTTCGCTCCTCACAACTCCATAAGGAAGAGAAGCAGGAGGGGGACTAACATCAGGAGGGGTGTGTGTTTGGCTGAGACCTCCCGTTGGAGATGGACCAGCACAGAGGCCTGGTCTCCTGACTCAAGTACTCTTAGCGGTCCACTGCTCAGGCACTGAGGGAACTGTCAGATGCTTCTCGGCAAGTCTGGCCTCACCGTGGGCTGAGCAGGCAGCAAGGGCTGCAGCCCCTATATCTGTTAGTCAGATGCAAAGAGAAGTCACTGTGCAGGTGCCGGAAGCCTACAGCAGCTCATCACTGGGGCTTTCATGTGTGTCTTCTAGGGTCTTTGGTTACCAGGCAACCTTGAAACACAATTCCTCAAGAGATGATGGAGGCAGAGACAGAGGCCACCACCCTGCTCCCCACTAAGCCCCAAATGACCACTCCTTACACTAGCTGATGTCGAGAGAACATTTATTTCACTCAGTCAGCTCCCGTAGGCGTCAGCGACCTGTAGAAATATCCAGGCTGGACGACCACTTCTGTGCACTCCTGCAGAGCCGAGGGGAGGGGTCCCTGATGCTCCCACTGCCCCAAGGAGATAAGAGCCTGAGGCCTCCGACATCCACTTTTGGCCCAGGGGAGCCAGCCCACAGCCCAATAAAAGGCACCCTCGAGTTAACTCACATACCCTCTCCCCACGTGCACTGCCCATTACCGGCCACCGACAAGCTCCGGCGCTCATTGAGGCAGTCAACAAGTGTTTCCTGAGAGTTAGAAGCCCAGTTCGGTGCTAGACCCTGGTAGGGCTCAAGAGGAAATGACAGTCCCTTGCCCTCAGGGAGCTCACTGTCTAGTTAGGGACTCAAAACACACAGGAGACTGGAGCATCTGTGGGACAGCACGCAGTTTGGGGACGGGGGCTCACACAGGGCCTGTTCGGAGAGGGAAGGATGAATGTGGGCTGGGTTGTTTGGGAAGCCGGGCCCCGTGGATCAGAAGGGCTTAGCTGGGTAGAGAAGAGGAAAGGGCACATGTCCGAGCAATACAGGGGAAGGCACAGAGGCAGGAATGAGCACAGCACAGTGATGGGCAGAGGGGGACACAAACTGCACCATTAGCAGAGAAGGAGTGTGTGTGGAGGTTTCCTCTAGGTCAGCCAAGGATCAGAGCCAGATTGGAAGCTCCTGGGGCTGGGAGCACCTTCTCATGCTCGGATCTCCCCCTGAGCATTCCGCTATTCCAGGGTGAGGCATACAGTAGGATGTAAGAATGTATGATCCAAACGGCATCGAAGACAGCAAGACTCCAGTGCAGGAATCCACAGGCTGCCCTCCAACCACCCTGACCCAAACCCATCCCAGCCCTGGTCAGTTTTGCCTTTTCTGATGTTCATTCTGGGGAAGCAAGTGAGAACTTGTGGCTTCCAGGCTGACTGGTTCAGGTGTGAAGATGGGAGGAGTCCTCTCCCTGCTGCCAGCCTGGGCCCTGTTCCCTTCAACTGCACTGCTGCACACTCAGAGAACACACAGAAAGCTCCTCCACCGACCTCTCCCCCTGCCCAGAGCCACAGGCACCAGGAGCGAGGCCCTCATCCTCTTCCTCCCCAGCCCACTGGGTTGAACACTTGGCCAGCTGGGAGGCACCGCTGACTGGGCTTGGTTGGTGGAAGCAGGATTCTTTCTCCCTGGGGCAGACTCAGACCAAACTCAAACTCCCACCACCGTCCACAGCAGTCCAGCTTCCCCTGAGACCACACAGTGAAATCAGAGCCCAGGCCAGGAGCAAAGGGCTCCTTTGTGGAAGCCAGCGGCCAGTCAGGCAAAACAAGAAACACAAAACCAGAAGAGAAAATCTAGCCCAAAGGACCTCTGCCAATGTCTGGGGAAGGGAAATGAGGTTCCAGATGCATCATTCTTTAGGTCTGGGAGAAGGGACTGACTAAAAAGGTCTCCTCCTCGGAATTCTTTATTCCTGAACAAGGGAAGGAGGCTTGGCCAGGGGGAGGGAGGGGCACTACTTGTACAGTGGCCTTGACTCGGGGCTCAATGTGTGACAGGTAAGGAAAGGGCAGCAGGTGAAGTCCTCAGGGCTGAGGAGTCCAGGGATGGGTTTCATTCAGGGAGTCCAGTGGCTCCTGAAATTGCCTGGGGTTTTTGAGTCTATGTCAGTTACCTGTTTTCCTAGGGAAGGTCCGTAACCTTCATCAGATTTTCCAAGGGCTTCGTGTCTCCGAAGTGCTAAGAAGCACTGCTCAGAAAGGAAAATGAAGCCTGCAGGTTTCATTCACATCTGGCAGAAGGTTTTGCCTCTAGAACCAGGTCGGCCACCAACTTGCTGTGTTAGCTTAGACCAGTCACTTCCTGTCTCTGAACTCTAGCCAAGTGGTGGACCAGGTGGGAGCAGAGAAGCCAGCTCTCCACACAAGCAACATCCTACCACCAGTGGCAGACAGTGGGGGCCTGTGGCCAGGCAACCAGGATGAGGTCTGCCCCAGCTGCGATTCCCACCAGGCCTGGGGAATCTGTCCACCAGAGCTTGGAATCTGCCACCAATTCCAGTCTCCAACCAGTCACCTCCACTGGTCACCGCAGTGCACCTCTTGAGGCAGGTCTTCTTACTGGATGTGCCCTCATGCCCAGGTGCAGTGCCAGCCAGGCCCCCACGGCACCCCATTCCTGGTCTCCATGTCCAGATGGGTCCTGCACCTACCGGGTCATAGGATCCTGCCCACTCCGCATCTGTCCACAAAAACAAAGAGATCAGGATCAGGTGTGGTGCCATGACATGGCCCTGCCCAGCCACCCCTCTGGGACTAGGAGGGAGCGATCAGCTGGCCTACCCTGAATCTGTCCTAGGGCTTGAATGAATGCTCTTTGTCCCCTACCCAGCGCTGCAAGGATTACTAATCCCATTTACAAATGAGACACCTTGGGTTCAGGGCATTTTGGTGACTGACTCCAGGTGTCCCAAGTCCCTGTTTAATTTCATCTTTGCCACCAATGCTAGTCTACAGCACCTGGGAGTAGAAGGGAGAGGACAAACAGTCTCTGAGGAGCCATAGCCACACAGCACCGAGGACAGGCAGAGGGGGGCAGTGGGGAGGGACGAGTCTCCAGCACCCAGCACAGGACTGAACATGCAGGTCCGCTCGAAGACCCAGCTCCCTTCCTCCCAAACCACTCCCAAGGATGCCATGTCCCCTTCAAAAACCCATACCACCCCTGACACCCCTGCCCCAGCTCCTATCACGTGGCCCCAAATCCTCCCTGCTCCATCGTCCACTTTTTAGCAGTGGAGCTAAAAGGTTCTGGGATTCAGAAACCAAAACACAGGCCTGGTTTCCACCCACTGTACCACTAAGTACCAACTGTGGTGTAGGCAAGCTTGGCAAACCTGTTTCCTCATCTGCCAAAAGGCTGAAGAGGCCTGTGCCTCAGAGCGCCAGCTTGGAATCACAGGTCCTGGCTGCCCTCTTTCTCACTGCCAGAACTTGGCCAGGCCTCTTAGCTGGGGGCCTCATGTTCTCTTGCCCCAATGACCCAAGCCCCTCGAGGCTCCAGATCTTCCCACATCAGTCTGCCCTCACAGTGCCGTTGATTCTCCTCCTAAAGCCTAAGTCTGAGATCATAGCACTCATCTCTTTAAAAATCTCAGGGTCCCCGCCCCCGACCACGAAGTCCTCTGTAGGGCAAACCTCCCCTTGGGACACCTGGAATCAGTCACCTTGACTGACACCGCCTTGAAAACACCCTTCTACACACTTGCTCTTCCTAGAACAATTTTATTTGTCCCCATGACCTGGTTCAAAGCCATAAAACTCCCCTGGGTGACAAAGAGAAGCCAGTCACCCTTCTCGGTCTCACCCCAGAGCACTTTGTAGGTTGGCCCCACATCACACACCGAGTGTAAGCACCCCGTGACAGGGCCTGCGGTCCTCATGTGTGTCTCTGGGAGAGCCCAGCGTGGCACAGTCAGTGGCACATGGTGTGGTAGAATCAACTAAGGCTCTGTGCACCAGTGACCTCATCCTCTCTCATCCAGTAGCTGCAATATATCCCAGCGAGGAAGAGCCCCTCATCTATATCCCCAACTTACAGATGAGCAAACTGAAACATGAAGTGAAATGACATCTCAAGGACAGCAGAGAGTGTGTACAGGAGCCAGGAGGCCTGGGGGCTGAGGTTGGGCGTGGGGATTGTGGAAAGTGGCCCTCTCCAAGTCTCTTTCAACTCTGACATTCTGGGGATGAAGATCCGGTAAGCAGCTTGTCACAGAGAAACCTACAGCCCAGGACCCAGACCACCCCACCTGCCATCAAGAATTAACACCACCCACCCCATCCCCACCACCCCCAGCCCTGAGAGGGGCTCTGGCCAGCCCCGCAGGTCTCACCTGCTCTAGGCCGGATGGGCCAGAGAAGGAGAACCATGGCAGGAGACCGAAGCAGCTGTGCGCAGCCAGCCAGACGGTCCCGAGGGAGGAACACAAGGGGGCGGCCGGAGCCTGGCGGCGGCCCACACCTTCAAGAGCCCAAGCCAACGCTGCCCCTCTCCCGGGATCCCATCCAGAGAGGGAGCTGCGGCCCAGGGCCATCTCCAGGGGTTGGGGACGCACGTGCGGGGCAGGAAGCAGCAGTCGGCAGCAGGCCCCGGGCGCATCATAGCACGCGTCCTAAGTGGGCCGCCTGGCCCTCGGGCCCGTGGCCGTGGCTGCGCTGATGGGTCTTGAGCGAGCCCTCGCGTGCGAAGCTCTTGCCGCAGCGGGGGCAGAAGTAGGGCCGCCGCTCCCCGAAAACGCCGGGGCGGCGCGGGTGGGGCGCGGGCATGCGCGCGTGGGTGCGCTGGTGGTTGAGCAGGAAGCGCGACTCGCGGAAGCAGCGGCCGCACTGCGCACACTGGTGCGGCTTCTCGCCGCTGTGGATACGCTGGTGCGTGAGCAGGTTCTGCTTGAGACTGAAGCAGCGGCCGCACTCGGGGCAGGGAAAGGGCCGCTCCCCGGTGTGCGTGCGCTGGTGCACCTCGAGGTTGTGCTTGACGCTGAAGGCCTTGCCGCACTCGGGGCACACGAAGGCAGCCGCGCGGCCCGACCCGGCGTGTGCCTTCTGGTGCCGCACCAGGCTGGGCTGCTGCGAGAAGGTCTGGCCGCACAGCAGGCAGCGGTACGGCTGCTCCTCCGCAGGGTGGTGGATGACCAGGCCTCGCTCGTCCCCCAGACCCTCCTCCCCGTCCCCCGCAGGGGACCCGCCCCCGGAGGACGCCAGCTCGGTCATGGGCACTTCCAGCTGCAATCACCAGTCCCTAGGGAGACAGAAGCGGGGGGGGGGGGGGAGAGAGAGGGGTCGGGGGACCCGAGAGTTAGCCAACCCCCAGCCTCACCTCCCACAACCTCCACCTTTCGACCCGTTTTGTTTAAGCTCAAGTTCCCCTGCTGGGAATTGGTGTTCTTCCTCCACTGCCTTTTAAGTACGGCCTACACTCCTTTCAGGCCCTTCCCAAGGGCACCTTCTCCTAGAAGCCTTCCCCGACCTTTCCACCCCAGGCTTACACCGTGTGACACAACCATGTGGCCCTCACTCATCACACTGCACAAGGGTCAGTCATGCCACCTCTGTCCCCCGACTCCCAGCACCTTAAGGACAGAGCTGCCTTCTTTCAACCCCAGCACCTAGCACCATGTCAGCCAGCCACGCAAGACACTGGACAGATGGTGATGAGTTTCAGTGAGGAGTTTCAGTTTCAGTTTCAGCTAGGATTTTCAGTTACCTTCGTCTAGATATGTCTTATCCCTCCAACCAGATCTCAAGGACAGAGGGAGGTAGGGAAGTGCACCCGAAACTTGGAGAAAAGGGTGGGATTATCAGTGACTTAGAGATATTTTTGCGAAGCTTAAAACAGGAAACAAAAACACAACCCTGTAAACTTGAAAGTGACCTCAGTTAACATTAAAGGCAGCAGCTCTTTGTTTATCAAAATGAGGCATGTGTTCAAAAGGTTTCCAAGTCACTGAACCAGGGTGTGGGCTCCCAGGGGGACTGGTCTCAGCGTGATTCCTCTTGGTATCCTCACAGCAAAGCCTGGCCCAGGGCTGAGCAGCACACTCAGTGCCCAGCCAACACCCCTAAACCCAGCTCCCTTCATGCTGGTTCTCCAAAGGATCCTCTTCCCAGGGTACTGTATTCCTCTTAAATTGTTTTCCATTGTCCTCACAACAGCCCTGAGAAAGGGGCGGAGCAGGGTTATTGAGCCCCACTTTAAAGTTGGGGAAACTGAGGCTCAGTGAGGTCAACATACTTGCCAAGGTCACAGAGCAAGGGGAGCCTGGACTAGGCCTTAAGTCTCCTGCCTCACTGTTGAAAGCTCTTTTCAATGTACTAGCTGCTCAACAACTAAACACTCCTCAAAACACACACACACACACACACACCCCACTGCCACCATCCCAGCTGTCACAGAGCCATGCATTCCAAAGGGCCACTTCTCCTGCAGAGGTACTGTCTACCGCCACTACTCCCACGAACCCCCCCCACCCCCACCCCCCGCAAAACTTGGGCTCCTGCAGAGCCCTAAGGCCTGCCTCAACCATTCTCCCCAACCCCATCAGGGAAGCCGACTGAGTGTTCCACTGAACCTCCCCGAAGGCCTCTCTTCACTTCCAGCCTCAGCCAACCTATCTGCAGAGTGAGGTCTCAGAGCCACCTCCTCTGTCTTCCCTACCCTCGAGGCCAGGGTGGAACTGACACCCTGGGGAAAGAGACAAGTCCTACTTGCAAGAGACCCCACCCACAAGTCTTTTCCACAGGCAACTGCACTGACATTTGCAAAGACAAATCATCAAAGTCCCCTTGGCCAATCTCAGCCTGGCCCTGTGACTGGGCAGCCTCCTCACTCTCCCCAGTTATACCCCTGACTGAGGCCCCGCCTGCACGTCGAGAGGCCCCCCGTCTCTCCCCCAAGTTCTTTCATCCCATGCCACACTCACAGCCCAGCTGAGCCCCTGCTCCTCCGGTCTCCGGCCGCAGCTCTTTTCTCTACAGTCTGTGCTGCTCAACGCAAATACGGTAACTCTCCCGCAGCGACTCCCGTGCCCCTTCTCCCCGCCCCCATAAAGACAGCAAGCCTCCCGCGACGTTGCTTTTATCAAATAGCTGCATTAATCGGGAGAGCTGACCCCACCCCACCCGACCTCAGACACAACCTTGCCAACTTCTGCGGCCTGAGCAACCCTGGAGAAATATGGTAAACTCTGCGTCGCAACCCCACCCCCATGAAAATACGTAGGCCTCCACCCTGCTGCCGCAACCCACCCCGCCCGACTGCAAGCCCCAGCTCCCGGAGGGAATGAATGCAGCCCACCCCCAGTGGCCGCAGCGCCCCCCGCGGAACCACGCAACCTTGGATAAATACGTAATTAAGTCGCGGCGCTCCCACTCCCGGAAAGGACCTGCGCGGGACCCAGCAAATACGGTAGCGCGCCCGCAGTGACCCGCCCTCGAGGGTCCGGCTCTGGCCTCGGTAAATACGGTAACCTCTCGCCGCGGCCCCAGCGCGGCCCCGCGCGGACTCACATGGCGCCGCCTCCTGAGCCCTCCGTCTCCGCTGCAGCGCCGCAGTCGCCGGCGTCGCTGCAGCCGCACAGCAGCCCCGTGAGGCTGGGAGGTCTAACTCTCCGGCAGCCCGGCTGGCGGAAAACGGGGCTGCTAGCGCTGCGCCCGCGCCCGAGCGGCGACCATGCGGGGGCCGGTTCCTGGGCCTGAACGTCCGATCCGCCGATCCAGACATTCCCCCTTTCGGGATTCCCTGAGGCCCGCATTCGGCCTCATCCCTAAATAGGCACCATCCCTATTTTCCTAATCCCAAGGCCAGGCCCACAAACCGCCCCCAGCGACCAGGAAAGAGGGTCGGACGGAGACGCCGGCCTTTCCGCGAGTAATATGGACTGAGCGCCGGAGCCCGGCGGCGGAGCGGCCCGGGGCGAGGGTTTCAGGACTGGAGACAACAGTCAAAGGGGCCGAATCGGGGAGCTGCCCTCGTTGACAGTTTTGCTGAAGTCTGTCTGACTGTATGGCCTGGGTTATATCACTAAGAGTGACCAGAGGGAAAGGAAGAAGACATCTGGTCCCTACTGACCACACCTCCCCAGAACGGAACCCGCAGTCAAGCCAGAGATATCCCATAGAAGAGCAACTTAGAATGTCTGAAGTAGCAGCGGGCGTGAGAGGGCAGAACCAAATTACAGCTTCCAGCTGCCATTTAATGATAATGTCCCTTAGTTGGACATAACTTGCCTTTTACAAAGCCCTTTTCCATGTATGATCTCGTGGAAACCTTCCAATAACCATGTGCACCCTAGCTTGTGTGGGTATTAATATTATCCCATTTTATAGATAGGAAAATAAAATTGAAACACAGAGTGGCTTCCTCCAACACCCACAGCTCTAAGTAGCAGAGCCCAGATGGGGACACGGCACCGTGACCCAGCTTGAGTTCCACTGCACCGCCCTGGGACTGAGACACTCAGACATAAATAGGGTGTGACAACAGGGAAGTAAAAACCTGGGCCCCAGTGAGAACGTGCCTGACGGTGTACATTTGACAGACAAAGAAACAGAGGCCTGAGAGGAAAAGTGATTTTAAAAGTCACAAGTGGTAGAAGAACATTAAATTGGCTTTTTTCTCTGTGGCCTTTTTGTAGCTGCCAGGTGGAGAAACGTGACTCTCCAAGTCCCAGGCAGGGATCCTTGCAGCAGACAGCGGATGTGGCAGTTGGAGTGGCGCTGTCCCTCATGGAGGGCGTTGAGAGACGCGGGCCTCCCGATATCATGAGGGTCCCCTCTGCAGCTCTGTAGGTGCCCACTGTGCCTTCTGGAGCCTAGGAACTGGAGAATTCCAGGTGGGAGCCCCTAGGCTGTAAAATCAGCCCCTTCCCCCAACACCAGGCGGGGAGGCCAGGCCTGCCTGCTTTCACAGCTCACTCGGAGAACCAGTCTGCCCCACCCGGCCCCACTCGTCTGCTTGTGGCCTCTGGAGAACCCGCTCCTACCCCAACCCCCACCCCATCCCTTCACTGCCCCTGGAGACACCTCACTGCTGGATGTGGGACTTTTGGAGTTCCTCGTCCCAAGGAAATTGGTATTTTAAACAGAGACAACAGGAAGGGAATGCTGGAAAGACAAACGAGTCCATAAGGCAGATGTTGAGTTCCCACACATTGACACCAGCACCCCAGGTGCTCATGACCAACCCCACCTGTGCCTCCACTCAAAGCACATCAACACTGCCCTGCTCTCCAGCCCCTGCTGTCACCTGCCAGAGCTCCCAGTGTTCATCTCCTCTGCAGACCATAAGAGAAATGGGGACACTTGGTGAAGACCATGTTTTTCAAAAGCAAAATCAATAATATGCCTGAGGATGTCTCCCATATTTTTAGCAGCATTTTCTAGGTAAGCTGAACCAAAATAGAAAGGAAAAGAACACAGCTAGGGGATGGGGGTGGACACAGACACAGGCAATACCACCTCAAACCTGCCGTGTCTCAACAGGGAAGCTAAGGCCCAAAGGGCTCCCAGAGGCCTCCATTCTCTGCTCTGCCACTGTAGTTTGAGCTTAGGCACTTCACTTCTGTAGTTTCGTGCACACACACCCCCCTCCTGTCTCCCCCAAGGTTCCCCACCACCCCATTCTTAGGGGCTGCGGTGAGCACGATGGAGTGCCAATATGGAAATACCCTGCAAACACAGCCTTGCTTCATGCTTCCTCATACAGGCAGCGCAGTGGCTGGCACAGGGATCACCACTATCCTGACAGGTCCACGTGGCAGCTGGACTCTGGACCTTAACAAAGACCTGGAACACCCACAACCAAGAAGTCCTGGAGAACAGCAGACCCGGCTCCCGTGTGGGTAGACGCGTAGCTCATGGCTCCTGTAGAGCATGGGTAGACGTGTAGTTCAGGTGAACCCTGTCCCAGACTCTGCACTGTAGTCACTCTGGGGCACAACAGGTGGACAAACAGATCACCCCATGGGCCTCCTCAGGGCAGCTCCAGACCCTGCTCCCCTCATCCTCCAGCTCCTCCTGTGGGGCTGCGTCCCCAGGGCTTCCTCACTCAGTAGGGCAACCATCTCCCCCTTGAAAAGCCTCTCCCATCTCCCCAGGACTGGACATCAGTCTGATCTCTCTCTCTAAAGCACCTTATGCTGATCCCAGATTTGGAATTTAGCACACTTTTGTTTTCCCCACCAGGTTATGAACTTCAAAGGGCAGGGACTATTTTAGCGTCTCTGTGTCCCACACATCCAGCGTATAATAGGTCCTCAGTCAATGTCTGTTTAATGAACGTATGCTCCTCTGCAAGCTACTGATAGCTAAGGCTGCGCAGAGAGAAAAGATGGCCCTAAGGGTTTGGAGGAGAAGGAGTGCTGATGCAATGCGAGAAATGAGGAGGTACAGGCAAAGCTGCCGCCCCAGCCACAACTGTGAGGGCTGAGTGGCTCTGCAGAGACCTGGATGAAGATGTGAGGCTCAGCGTGAGGCCTCATCTGCTCCAAAGTTCTCTTTCCTTGGAATTAAAACCCAGTATGTGACCTATGACATCAATTCAAACCCTTAAACTTGCAGCAGGCCTGCTTCACACTGGGGATGGTTAATTCTTTGTGTGGGTTAAGCTAAACAAGGGAAAACCCTTTTTTCCCTTTCCATGGGCACAATTGCTCTGCAAGTAACCACTCTAGTTTATTAAAACAACAATAGCTACCATTTATTGAGTGATTGCTGTGTGCCAGGCACTATACCCCATGCTTTACATAAGTTACTTGCCCAAGGACCTATGGTTTAAATGACAAAGCCAGAATTGAACCCCAGAACTATCTGGCTCTCACCTAGGTGGTGAGCTGAGGGGAGAAGGTGAAGGGAAAAGAAACAATGTTTCTAGTTTCTTATCAATAGGAGTGTCATCCTATCATCCCTGGGGCTGTGCTGCCCAGTAGCTACCTGGGGCTATTTAAATTAATTAAAATTGAATAAAGTTCAGTTTCTCAGCCGCACCAGCCACATTTAAATTCTCAATAGCCATATGTGGCTAGTGGCTATGGTCTGGACAGCACAGAAATAGAGCACTGTCATCATCACGAAAAGTTCTCTGTTGAACAGCCTGTTTAGGACACCTCCTCCAAACCCAGTCAACCCGAGAGGCTGTTCTCTTTTTAGCCTAAGGGATAACTTAAGGGAGTCCCTCTCTCACTGCCCCTGCCACAATCCAGGAAGAACAGTGATAGTGAGAACACGCTATTTTTGGCCCCAATACTCCTCCTCCTGCCTAAAGGCCAAAGATATTTCTTTACCAAATTCAAACCACTTAAAAATAATAACAAAAGGTTTCAGGAGCATCCCCTACTCCCACCAGTTTCCCTCTGTCAAGTCTCTGAGGGGTCTGTGCTATTGCATGGCTGAGCGGCCGCCTCTGGTCACTGCTACCCTCTGTCAGGCACCTCCCCTGGGGCTGGGCAGTGGGACACCAAACCCTCTCAATGAGGCTGACCGCCTTACCGGACGACTTGAAGCACGTGTCCCTTGCCAAAAAACAACCATTTTCTGAGAACTTACACCATTTTTCTTAGCTCCAGACTTGCTCCTAACAAAGAAATACAAGGATGACGTAGGCAGTTCCAGAAGCCCCAACATCACGAAGCTCACCTGGCTCCCCATGCCAGCCACTGCACTGCCTGTACGAAGCAGCGTGGCTGAGTTTGCAGGATGTTTCCACATCTGTGACCACGTGGCCACAGATCCCCACTGCAGACCTGCACTTACCTGGCCTTGGACAGGATACAAAGCTCTGCACTTACCTGGCCATAGACCTGATCTAAATCCTTTTAAGTCTTGATTTGTTTACTCATGGCTGTTTTCTGTTCCCTTGGCAACCACCTTAATCTCAGCATGCTCCAGAGTATTTTGGATTGTAACCCACTAGGATAACAAACCTGACCGTCTTGTCTTGGACTTAATGACAATGCCTCCTCCTAAATATCCTGTGACCCAGGTTTATCATTTTAAAATGAAAGAGAACGAAAACTGAGGGGGACAGTACCACCCCATCCTTGCAGAAGGCTGCAGTGTGACAGCAGAAGCAGCTTGGGCTAACAGGAGGCCTGGGATCTCTGTCAATTTGCAACAGGACCTGGTGGACAGGTCACACTATCCCCACCCCCACCCTCCTTTCCCATGTATTACTGCCCTGCCTGACTCATGGTACGATTAAATGAGATAATGGATTAGAAAGCCTTGCTAAGAGAGCTGGGGCTGGGAACCATTTTTTAAAGAGTTGAACATAAAAAAAAAAAAGAGCTGAACATAAAGGTCCCAAGTCCTGTGCGTATCAAAATGATTTTCCACGAAGGTCCTTGAGCTCTTCAAGGGTACGGGCTGTGTCATGGGCAGCATCCCAGAATGATACCTGGCACACAGCAGGCTTGTTTAATGAATGAATGCTGTGAAGTCCCGGCCTGGTCAGTGAGTCATACACCTCAGTCATTCTTTCCCTGAGGGATTTGACCCTGTCCCCTTTGTGACCCAAAGCACCCATTTGTGGGAGGTTCAGTCACCTGGGATCAGCGAGCAGGCATTCTCATGAATTGGTGCTGGAGAAAAAAGCTGCAATTAGGCCTCATTTTTTTAACCCCAAGTCCTACCAGCAAAGCTATTTGACTTTTTTGATCATTAAACAAGCCACTTATGGAAAATGACACGTTCTGTTGTAAAGATGCTCCTGCAGGACTGATCTCGTCAGCATCTGCTCACATGTGCCCTCGGGCACCTGATTCACAGGGACCCAGTGTTTCCACAGATCTGTCCTTGCAGGCAGTGTTTCTCTAACCCAGGAATGAAAGACAGGACTCAGTAAGGCCTGAAGTGGGTGGGCTTGCTCAACGTGATTTCAGAATTTGGCAAGTGGCAGAGAGAAAAAAGCAAATGACTCCTGAACCTCCCCCCTGGTTAAAGCAGGGTTTGAGGAGCTGCAAGGCAGTCAAGCACTCCCTGGTGCAGTGCAGGGTGGAAGGGGAGTTCCAGGAGACAGGCAGGACATGAGAGTCAGGGGAGCCCCTAGGGCTGGTGTCAGGTGGAGGGTGCCCAGGAAAACCCTTCTGGTTTGGTTTCCCGTGGTCCTAAGTGCTGAATGCTCAAGCAGGTGGTAGCAACCCTGGCGTACAACACCCCGTGTGATTTCACACTGCATGGTTTGTGATCAAAGAACTGCTCGGGGATGCAGCAGCCCTGGCCGAGTGCTAACCATCATCGGCACTGTTACCCTGGTAAGCCATAACAGTCAGGGCGGCCCTCCTGGTCCACCCATCACCTTCATATGTCCTTCCATAGATCCACAACTGGAGTTTTTTCCAGATATAGAGGATTAAAGAACAGTGACCAGAAGCCAGGCTGAACGGTGGCAGCTCCCAGAAGATAACACTTCCCTGCATACAGAGAAGGATCTGGGCTGTGAGAAGTGGGCAGGTGTACTTCCTCCTTCTCCAGAGCCATGGTGGGGTGGTTTCTTCCTCCTACCTCCCAGCTACCCAACCCTGGCACCCCAACACCCATCACCACCCTCTCCAATTCCCTCCTCTCCTCTGGGAAGATACCATCTGCGGCCACAGCCTGGGCTGGAGCCCTGGGCTCTTCTGTCAGCACCAGGGGCTCAGACAACCCTGCTTTGGAAGTGTGTAAGGGGTGACCTCTTGGGGCAGGAGGCCGAGGAGGGTTTGTGGGAAGAGACACTAAACTGACTTGGAGAGGGGAAGAAGGAAAACACCCCTGGCAAGATCTGGGCATGGGGAGTGCTGTGCTCCTAGCCTTGGGCAAATGGATCTCTGAGCACACACAGACCCGGGCTTCAGCTTCAGCCAGGGTGGTTCAGAAAGGCAAGTGAGACCATGTGGAATATTCCATCCATTTTCTCTTCTGCAGCACCAGACTGATAAGGATCCAAGCCAGTCAAGTCAGCCAGCCCACTTCAGATATGCCCCAGACAGGAGTGGGAGCAGCGTGTCTGGCTCTCTCCTGCACAGCTACCTCCTCAGGTAGCCAAGCCTCAGCGGAGCCCACCCGGCTCGTGCCTGCCTGACCATCACACGCATACCAGTTCTAGAGTCGGGCCCAACCACACACACACCTTGGGCAGGGGGCAGGCAGGGATGGAGAAGGACATAAAACCACTCACTCCTTCCAAAAATATTTATTGGATTCCTACGACGTGCCAGCTCTGGCCCTAGTGCTGGGAATATGCTTGGCTCTCCCTCGCCACAGCTTCTGGCTTCCATCCTTGGTATCACCGAGTCTTGGCAACTCTCCTACAGGGGCAGCCCCTGGCCATCCTGAAGCGTGGGCAGGACCGGCTGGTGCTGCAGCTGACTAGTCCAGACCTCAGCCACTTCACACCAGGGGACTTTCCCAGCGTCCCCAACAGGCCCTTCACTCGCTGCTTGAAGCCTGGGGTCCAACCTCTGAAGAGGGTGGTCACATCCGGGCCCGCAGTGAGGAACTCGGATCTTCCCTCCTCCTCCTCCCTCAACCCACGCTGGGACCTTTCCCAGCACCCTCTTGGACCCTTCTAGAACTATTCTCAGCCCTTCAGCGCCTTGAGGAATCTACGGGTCCTGCTATGGGGAGTTCTAAGAGCCAGCAATCCTGGCCACACCCACTCCCCACACACACCCCACAAACATCCCCCGCACCACCACGGGTCCGCTGAGGTCCCGTCCACTAGCGCGCCTCCTCCTTGGGGCTGCACGCGGGGGCCGCGCGATGTACACGCTGGTGCTTGAGCAGGTGCTGCTTCTGGCTGAAGCCGCGGCCGCAGGCGGGACACAGGTAGGGCCGCTCGCCTGTGTGGTTGCGCCGGTGCCGCGTCAGATTGGGCTTCTGGCTGAAGCGGCGGCCGCACTCGGGGCACGGGTAGGGCCGCTCGCCAGTGTGGATGCGCTGGTGGATGGTGAGCGCCGACCACCACGAGAAGCTCTTGCCGCACTCGTTGCAGATGAACTGGCGCGGCTCGCCAGGCCCGGTGAGGCCCGCGCGTCCCCGGCCCCACAGCGCGTCCCGGGCCCCCGGGGACCGTTGGGAGCTCCGCGGCCGCGCGGCCAAGCCTGGGATGGCCTCGGCCTGCAGCT